TCTCTTATGTATTGTAGGGATTCAGACCACATCCTTAAAAACCTCACCTCTTTGTACAACAGTTATCTCTAAATGCTGCACATTTACACAGTTTACCAAAATCAGCACATCCTTGCAAAACAATCTGTATGAATGCAAGTATGCTCACCTGTTTGAACTGTTAAAAATCCCTCGAAGCATATAAACTAAATGGACATAATGGGCAAGGGAGCATCTTAGAAATACGTAATTAGCAAGACTATACCATGGGGAAAAAAACCTGTCAACCTGTAATGGAAGTATTACTAAAATGATAAATTCTTATGAAGATAAATTCTCATTTTTAATAACACGCACATTTTGAATCATTAAACTGAAATTTTACTTTTCTGTATACTTTTTCTATATACTTTTCTGTGTTGAATAGAAATGAAACAGATTAACATTTAGATTACCAGTTATGAAATGCCACACTGCTGGCTGTTCTATGGGTTTTGTTCCTTTTTGATCTTGGTCAATTACTCAAGAGAGTCCATCACAGCAGCAACCTCAGTCCTGCGGGTGCCGACACTCGCCCACTACTCTCATTTGGTAAGGGACAACTATATTCTCAGTAAAATCAGAGGAAAAAGATTATTTTTTTTTTTTTTAAATTTAAAAAACAACACCACAAAAGCAAACAGCTGCAAGAAACATTCCAGAGAAAATTCAGAAAAATGTTAAGTCTGGTCTCTGGTTTAGATAGTAAACTAAGCTTAGGGAGTTTACAAATTTTCGTTTGGTAAAGTTTTCTTAATATGCATTTAAGAAGAAAAAAAAAGGCAGCTAGATCTGGAAGTAAATGCAATTACCTCAAAAAAAAAAAAGAAAAAAAAAGAAAAAATATCCTTCCTTTCCCTCAGCATTAAACCCAGGTCATTTTTTTGTTTGTTTAGAATTTTAGAGATTTGATCTGTATGATGGTCTTTGGATACCAACTCCATGAGGGCTGAAGTGAAAATGCATTATTTCAGCCATCAAGCGCACAAGAAATAAGCATGCAATTCCTACCACATCAAGACACTCTTGAAAGTTTCCTCTCAAAACTGAACAAACACAGCTAGATGAGTAGCACATAAACATGACCTATCCAAGCTTTAGAGCTTTTTCCAGCACATAATGTATTTGGGTGTCAGAAGTTCATGGAGGTAACCTAGGCTCAAGCACTAAAGTGAAGATGAACCATCAATATCACCAGAAGTAAATGCCAACACACAAACTAAGTCCCAGGCACCGTGGAATTATTTGCTAATTAACCATGAAAAAATTATCCATAATGTAACAATGAATTCAAGCTTCTTGCATAAAGTTGAAGCGAGCAGTTGCAAAGAACACGAACTACTTCACTGTCTCGTCAGCGGTCAGGTTCATACAAGCTTGGATATGGTACTTTTAAAAATGTATTTACTAGATGTCATACTGAACACTTACGCTGTTTATGTCATACAGAACACATTCATAAATTTGTAAACAATTTCAATATATCCTAAGTTACAAACTGATTTCTTAAGAAAGCAAAAAATAAACTGATAAGTTTCTGAAGGCTGAAACATCCTTTGCCATTTATATTTGATATAACCAAAGCATTAATCTACAAGTTTTCAAATCGTAAGACGACAAAACACACCTTTAAGGCCAGTAAGTATTTTTTCCCTCCAATAAACAACAGAAAACAAAATTCAATTTTCTGTAACTGAAGTACCTGTAATACAAACTGTTAGCTAACGAAGAGAACGGGGTAATCAGAAATTCATGTAACACAAGGTCATTGGCACAGAATTTCTCTTTTTTGGTGAAAATCGGTAAGATCTTTTCAAGATGTTTGACACAGTTCTGAAGACACTTCTCCAGAGATACTTCTGAGTTATCTGTGGGCAGACAAGCTACCTATTCTACCTGAACTAAACCAGGTTGCATTGCACTGTGCTGCGGGGAGCTTCGCCAGCTTGCAGCTTTGCCAATATATGGATCTTGGTGCTCCACAAACCAATTGCATCACAGACTTCTTTTCTATGTTCATCTCTATTCTTAGAGCCTCTGAAGTCATAATTTATTTCCTTTGCTTTCTGCATTGTCTGAGCTATCCTGCTCCTCCATTTCCTGAATAAACTGAGGATGTACAGTGTTAATCACAAGCTGCTCCAATGAATATAAATCATACTGCGCTAATACCAGTCACCAGGGCAAATAGACTGGTATTTCCGGAAGCCTATCATCAGCACTTTTGTGCAACCCCCAAGAGAAAGTTCATAGCATGCCTGAAGACCAAAAACAAGACTATTTCAGATTAAAAGGCAAAGTATTTCCTAAATAAGAAACCTTGATGAAGACCCACTTCGGCAGCTCCTCCTTTCCCTTCCCACTATTTCAAGTGATCCGCTGACCTCAACTCCAGCCCTATGGCACAGAAGCAAAAGTTCTCTCAGCAATACCACAGGCCATTTAGAGCTTACCAGTTACAAGCTTTCACAGATCTAATATAGAACTTCAACTATGCAAAGACAACCTCATTCTACAAGCTGTGTGTAAAATACAATCTCATGTAAAGTCCATCGCACCACACAGTAGTCAACCCAACATTTATGAAGAAATTACACATCTCTTGGTCTACTACAGGTAGAAGAAAGGGTTCCCAGGTATGATAGCCATAGAAATAACAGCCACCCGTTACAAATAACTGGAATTTGAAAGCTGGAAGGTGGTCAAACACAGCTAACCTGAAGGAATGCTACATCCTTCCCCGCACTTCATACAAATCAGACCCACCTTAATCATCTCATTACATTACAGCCTGCCAGTTCACTTTAACTCCTGTCCAGACGCAGACATTAAACAACACAGAGTTGTCCAAAAAGAAAGTTTCCCAGCTTCACTTGACTCGCTGAATGAACACCAAATCATGTGTCTATGTACACATTAGAAGAACAGGGTGACCAGCCAACAGCAACCTGAATCAGTGGGAATTAAGTCATGAGTGAGCCCAGCAACTATACAGACACCTGCTATCATCCATGAGAATGGACACAGCTTTATCAGTAAAGGTAGTAATTACTACCCATCACTAGATCAGCAATTGCACCAATGGTTCATAACAAAGTTTGACCCTCAACAGCCTGGGGACACACATACAGCAGGCATCCACCAGAGATAAGCTCAAGGTGTTTTCTTCTCCCTTGAGAGTGGGGGGAGTGACTGCAGACTGAAAGGCAACTCTATAATGCTTAAGCACAACAATACTTCTACCATTTCTTCATATCTAGGTATGTTGCGCCAAGAACAGTAGAACACTGTCAGAACATAGCTTATAGTTTAAGACTTACTTCCCCCCCGCCCCCCAAGTCCAAGCAGAAACTCTTCTGCCCTTCATTAGCCTACGAGTTTAAACTGCAGCAGAGCCAAGGTGGAAACAGATCTCAAACTTCACGCCACCCACTGTAAGATGGATTACTTTCCCTCTCTCCCACCTGCACTCATTGCCCTCATTTCCAGCTCACTGTCCACCCTGCTTCTAATTGAGTGCCCAGTTCCAGCCTCCATGAGCTGTGCTACCAGAAACATACTCTTTAAAACAGGACAAAATGGAGGTTCTAGACCAAGTAATAAATGCTCTTCTTTACGGCTGAGTCTTTGAGCAAAAGGTTATGCCAGTCAATGAGGCTGTATGCATAACTTTTTATAAAAAAAAAAAAAAAAAATCACTACTTTACTTGTGTCATTTGCTTATGTCACACCCTGGATGTGACAGCTTGTGCATGAACCTACAATGTCATTTTAAAAGATAGGACATATTATTCATAATCTGTGGTGTTAAATATTCTTATTTACAAATTTAATAAAAGAGATTAAATAATCAGTGAATTTCAAACAGCAGTTAAGTCTCAAAAAATTTTAAGTAGCATCTTGTATACAGACTGCTGTACTAACATGATGGACAATATTTCATATTCTTTTGTGAAAACAGTATCTGTGTGAAGAAAAATATGTTGCAGTCTGATTTGATCTGTATGAAAAGCAGTATAATTCACATGGGCTGAGAAGCTGGGTTTCTTATTTTCAAGAAACACTACTGCATTATATCAAGAAAACAACGACTGGATGAAAAAAAGTCTTATCCCTTGACATTTTCACATTGCCTACAACAGTACTACTCAACATTACAGCAATTTTAGGCTATTAGGCTTTCACTGCCAAATTTGAACACTGGAAAGCAGTATGCATTGCACTCCAAAACAGCTTTTTTTTTTTTAAATAAACCTTCAGAGCAAATCAGTTGTTCATAAACAATAGATAAGTACATCTGACCATACCTGGAAAATTCTACCCTAACACCACTACAAGCTACCATAAGCACACTATGCAAACATGTATCTACACAACAGACAGTAGCTAAAATAAAAATTATAAAAGCCGTATTAGTAAGAGAAGATGCATCAATCGTCATCATCTTTTCATCACAGAAGGTAGTACATATAATTCTAAAAGATCACAAAGCTTTAAAATTGACAAAGGAAAAATTCATATTCATTAAAAAGACGTCACTATGCTTGACCCACGCTCAGGAAAACCAGACCAATAAATAGCAATAGAGCAGCTCTTCTCACACAGCCAAGAGATATTTTAGTACAAAGTAGGGTTTGAGCATGCTGCATAGAGGACAGATGACTGATATTTTGCTTACAGCACCCAAATATTCTGCTTTTATGCGAGATGAGTTAACATACTTTCACATAGACATTTCTGGGTTGAAGAAACTTAGATATTTCCTATACGACACACTGGAATTCCTCACATAAGGCACGAGAGAAAAGAAAAAACCCAAACCCAGAGTCTTTGAGCGTGCAAGTATGTGCAAGTTTGCACATGTGCATACTTGATATAGAACGTATGCTGTCCAGATACAAGTAGTATAATAGTTGAGATGCTTCTCTGTCTCATGTCCAAGATCCCCCCCCCAAGAGTTATTCTAATTTAGAAAGACATACCTTTTAAAGCTGGCAGTTTCTGAAGCTCCCTGTTATTGCTAACATTAAACCTTGACGAACTCTGCCGCTTTTCTTTCTTCAGTACTGTCTGCGGTGTTGGTACTTTGATTTTAGATAGTTGTGCTGGGGGAGGAGTGCTGTTTGATTTCTTGTTTGACACCTGTTTAAAAAGAAATGAAAGCACTTAATTGCAGCTGAACTTAGAGAAAATCTTCTAAAAAAAAAAACCCTATTTTTGTTACAGAAATAAATTAAGCAAAATAAGCTTGTAATCAAATTGCTCTATTCATCGTCCTCTGAATATATAGCCATCTATTCTTCTGTTCCCTCTTCTCAAAGTTCATTTCTGTACCATAGCCCTCATAGATGGGAATAGATCACCTTGTTACATGCACAAGCCCATTTATTTGAAGTTACCAGCCAACTGAAAAGAAATTTTCAAATAGTCCAGGTCTTCAAGGTATTTGGCTGTCTAACTTCAGCTTCAAAGGGATCACGGGATCTTGTCTATTTACAGCAGGTGAACCTTTCACTGCCCATTCGTACTGTGCCTCATTGCTAGGGTCCTAAGTTTGGCTTAGGACATTCAGGCTTCGATATGAAGTTAAAGGAGCAAGTCTTATCATTGTAGTAGGTTCAGCAGCTTATAAAACACAAATGAAGATTTGTAGCATTATACTGCCTACTCAGAGCAAGTTGCTTTTACTGTAATAATCCTTATCAGATTGTCACTGTACCTCTGTATGAAGTAACATAAAACCAGAAAAATGGTTCCCACCTATAGGTTTCCAGTTTGCTCTTATTTCCCAGACTACACTTGAGAGTGTGCTCTCTCAAGCTGAATAAAACGCATCATTAACAAAAGCCTGTCAGAACTTGTGATGCTGCCTTTCTCATTCCTTTTTTGAAGTAGGAAAAGCAGGTTTAAAGTAGGTAATAGTTAACTTTTTTACATATTAATCATTTCATGACACTCTTTACAAGAATGATAAAACATCTAGGAGTGACCTACATTAAGAATATAGAAACAGCTGAGCAGGAAATTTTACTGCAAGAATTGTAATTCATTTTACAGGACCTTCATTTGCTGTAGAAGCCTTTCGAATTTGCAAACTATTTTACAGGGAGGCACACACATCTGAAAATATACCTTGGCACTTTTCTCCTACAGGAAAGACCATATTCTCCTTTCCAGGAAGAGCTCACATAACAAGAAATAGGGGGGGGAAAAAAAAAAAAAAATCAGATGGGAATGGAATTCAGGATGGAAATCAAGTCGTAATGCTGCTACTTTGGCAGTTTGAATGGACTCTAATTATAGAGTTTTGTTAAGTATAGTAGATATGAAAACAGTGTTTCATTCCTGCATGAAATAACATCAATGGCATTTTCACAGGGATATGGCTAAAACAACAGGAACCACTTTTCTTCATGTTCTAAAAAGGATTTCCAGAATAGCTTATTCATCAGCAATTTCCATATGGTCTGGGAGTATACGAATTCAGCACACACTGAAATGTTACCATACATAATTTAATCTACCTTTAGAGTCTCCAAGACAGTATTCTAGTAGCATAACTAGGAGAGAAATGTATATGCTTCAAGATATGACTGAAAGCAACATTTAGTTTTCATTGAAGACATTTAAGATGACCATTTTGTGAATTTAGTAATGTAACAGCAAAACCCCCTACAGCCTTCTAGAACAACTAAGGGGAAATAATACATTGAACACCAGAAGTCTTAAGCTACCCAAAATATTCTAGAACTTCTTTTGTAAAAGTGGCATCCCTCAGCAAGTTAAAAGCATTTATGTACAAGCAATACCTGTTACATTGCATTTTTCAAACTATTTCACTTTTTAATCCTAAACACAAAATGCTTAAAAAAAAAAAATCTTTTTTCTGAAATACTAGTGATCCGCAAGGTAAATTCTATCCATTAATTCAAGTAAAAAAAAAAAGCATTCCAAATGAAATTATGAATAGACTAAGCAGAAATAAAAACAGTAATGACTTACCATGTATTAAACAATAAAGCTAATTAAGATGCATTATAAACACTATTACTGCACAGGTTTCTATATTTTAAGTACTGTGCTTGAGCCTAATGGTGTTTTTCTGAACATGCTGTCTTCCGCTGCCACCTGTTTTTTGTTCATTACCTGGAACAGGAAAAGCTGCTTTCCTGTTTCCTCTATCCCCAAACAAATTCTCAATTTCAAATTAACAAGTGCTCACATGTGCCTGCACACATGCGCACACTATGCTATCCTAAGGTAACACACACCTCAGGGAACTAAGTATTCTAAATTGCAGATAAATTCTAAAATTAGCCAAAAGTGGTTATTTAAGAGGATGGGTAACATTTCTAATTAGACATGTTGAAAGCAAGCATTTTGTGTTGCTATGGCAACTTCCCATCCAGCAGTGATGACTCTGGTGTAATTGTAGCCCTGAATCACTGGCCAATTTATCCAACATATTTCCTCCTCCTTTCTACCGTCAACCATGATCACCCCTGCTTTTCAGTCATGCTCCAGTCATTCAGACAGCACATACCAGACAGCTGCCAAAAGACATTCCAGTTCATTGTTATCTGAATACCACACTCCACAGCTGTACCCAGTGACCTCTGCAAGTGGCACTATGGTGCTACCACAAGAGAACTGGCCTCCAGAGCTTGCAGATAACCAGCCCCTGGATAGAAGGGCACTGGGAGAAAGTGGGTTAAGTCAACGTAAGCCACACAGCTCAGCAATCTTAACCACTCCTCTAAAAAGAAAACAAATTCAGACTAACTATTCTGTGTATTCATTTGCTAAAGGTTTCAAGGTAATACACTTAACTTTTTATGAAGGTACAGTGCTCATTAGTTCAGATTGAGGAGCCAACCAAGCTTATCATCATCTTCCCAGTAACAACCCAAACTACTTCAGAAACAACAACTACTGAGAATAACTGATGGACATTCTGCTACATCAGTGAACAAATCAACTTTTTCAACACCAGAACAGTCAAACTACAGGTGTATTTTTACCAAGTCTCTTCCTGTGACTTGAATGGGAAATACCTTCCTCTGGCAAACAGTTCCCTCCTACCCAAATGCTTATATACTCATAGATACATTCAATTCCAAAAGTGCTGGCAAACCCCTAAAAATGTGTACAAATTAGTCTGAAAAAAATGTCAGATCAATTCATTTTTGAAAGCTAGAGCTTTACATACTTTTATGAACATTAAGACAATTGGGACCAGTGTGATTCTGACTTAATTCTGCTTTTAATTATTGAAAAAATGGTTTTTATGTCCCTCCATTCTCTTGAATAAGCTTAAAATGAATTCAAGAGAGTGAAAAGCAGGGAGAAGAGAAGGAGGTTTCTTGCCAGTTGTGACAGCTCAAGGTAGATAGTCCTTGCATCCCTTTTTCCCTTGAGTCCTCCTGCGTCAAGCAGGATGTGGTACATTCCTTGCCTTAACACCACCGGTTTGAGCAAAGTTGGATCCTTCATCCTCCCAGCTCATACACAGGGAAGTATAGATCAGAGCACAATACTAAATTTGTGACCGGGGAAAGAAAGATATCGGTAGATCAAGTGCATCTACAGTTGCAGCCAATTTTTCTTTTTAAATTAAATTGATCACAGTCCACGTGGCAATTTTTACTTTTGGCCAGTCATGTAAGACTTGAGAGAGAGTACTGGGATCTGGAAGGAGGGTCCACCATGCACCCCATGTATGACAACAAGTCTTTCAGAAGACCCTATTCTTCCTTTTCTGTCAGTCCCACAAAAAACTTAGTATTCAAACTACCTTGACCAAACACAGGCAACCAGAAGAACTCTGCCTGACCTTACCTTTCAAAGCACACTCACTAATAACTGAATTAGACCAAAGCACACAAAGTCTTCTGCTCCACAAAATCAAGAGGGCTTCCAAGCCAAGCCTAGAGTGGGGTCAACTCTATAATGCAGCAAGCTTTCATACTGCTTTCTAAGATAAACTGGTCAGAGCAGGGTAAAGATTTGAAAATTACAATAAAATCACCTGGGTGCATCCGTCACTCAAGATTAAAAGAATTGGATGGCTTACTAGTGACAAAAATCAGATCGCCTTCTACACACAAGGCAAGAGAGATTCTCTCAGACTGAAGAAAACACGGTGATAGGCAGTATCGTACATGGCGTTTCTTGACACAGATCAGTCTAACACTAATCCGCAAATTTCTTCCCTCTAATGAGCATTACCACTGAATTCGAGTTTGTATCAGTGTGTACACCATCCCAGGATGGCAGCAGCAAGCCACTTACCAGCAAGAACCTTGATAAAAACTCTGGACTACAAGATGTGGATAGGTGAACTTTGTATCAATTCATACATAATTAAGACTCCCTATGAAATGTGGGTACACAGAGCAAAAAGCACGGAACACTTTCTATGAGAATCGTTAGTCTGAGTATGAGAACAGAGGAAGAATGCTTTTATTAATGCAGAATTAATCCCTTCCTTCTTTTCCTTTTGGTATAGTAAGTAGCCTCTATGGATTTATTTTTCATTAAGATAAACAGAGGTCTGATCTATAGCACCCAGAAGAGGTAATTTCTTGCCAAGGCAGCCTCAGAAGGGGCTATAAAAGCATTCTGGATTATATCTAAAACATACTTACAATGAAACTGAAATAATTTACTGAAACTAAACAAAGAACATGAGAAAACATGAAAGGGACATTTAGACCTTCATTTTCAAAACTGTATGAAGGCCCAGTATGTAATCAAAATAATTTGGATAAGAGGTTGAGGTCCAATACATAATCAATGTAATTAGGCTGAGAAGTTGAACTTAATTTAATCCCTTGAGCTGAGAACTGAAATCAAAGATCAAGGAGTCAAAATGGGTGGAAAGCAGTTAAGAGCCTTCCATGCAGTTTTTTCCCCTCTGCAGTAACTTCAAAGTAGTGTGAAAATCTCTGAACACTCCAGGAATCTTGAACTCTGCTGCAGAGCTCTCTCCTTTGCAGATCTTCATTTACTGCTCTGTTTTGGGGGTGGGAACAGCGAGAGCTCCTATCTGGCATATGGCCCAGCAGCCATCAACCTGGTGATTATATCCACAGCATACCTGCAGGAGGGGCGCTGGTGGTGTTAGGTTAGCAATTGGAATC